ACTGCATCCGTGCCCTGACCTGTCTGCTTTGGCTCAACTTTAGAGACGCTGCCATCTCCACAGCTTTTTTGTGCCACCCTACATTGTTTCATTCACAAAATAGGTGGCTTGGGCGTTAGCTACTGCAAGCAGCACCATGGTTTTACTTTCATCGCATGCATTCGGCCTCGCAGGTTTTCTGATCACTCATTTCCTCCAGCCGATTTGGAGTGATGACACAAATTCACGTCAAACACTTTTGGAGCGATTTTTACGATCCGATATCCCAGAAAGTCATGATTTCTTAATCACTCTGCCCAACTTGGAGCGCTACTTATAGAACCATGGCAAATTATTAAAGTGGTGTAGGAATCTGTACGATTTACGTATGCTGTGACATATGGGGTACAATTAAACGTTGTGTAATGATTGATGGGATCTAAGTCCCCTCGTTTAATATTTGTCACCATGGTTAGTGAACATCACAGTAAATAATTGCATGTGACTCCAGAAGGTGGTTAAAACGAGTGCGTAAAGTCGTCATGCAAATGAATTTCTTCATTGCATCCCGAAGTCTTTAATTTGCTGCTCCAATCAATGTGGTGAAGTTATTTGGAAGACAAGACTACGTATAACTGACACCATTTCAATAAAAAGCAGTGAATATTTACGTTCATGATTACATCCAGGGCTCGCAGCTTATCTCGATGCTTTCTAACCTTCATTCTCTTCAACTTCCAACTGGTGATCAACGAACTGCCAATAAATTAATGGCCAAGTCGAAAAATTTATCCTTGCTACTGTACCTCATATTTCGACTTTTTATTATGGTAGACATTGCAACATGCCAAAAAAGTAGCATAGAAAGTTTTAAGCTTTGTCACCTGACATCATTGTAGTTGGCATTATGCACTTCAGTAATCAAAATGGCAATTTCGACACATCTCTAATTATTTTTCTTGTAGATGGGAATTGCAATGGAGAGCATTGCCCTCGGAAATGGTGAGTTAAATTCCCCTCAAGTGTCCATTGCTTCCGGTGCGTGTTTGTTTCGTGTTCCATTCTCGCTTCCATCCATTTCCTATGTAGTTAACGTCCGGTCTTAAGCTCTTCTCCACCTCCCCATGCCTATAGAAAATCAAAAACTCACCTCCCTCTCTTCCCCCTCCCTTCCTCTGCTCATCAGTCAGCAGCTTCCGCACTTATCGTCGTTCGTCATATCAACTGACCGATTGGATTCGCCCTACAAACTCACTTCTTACTTCAAGTGACAGCTAATCGTTCGTTCCCTTAATACCATAAAAGCCATTGACTGGCGCCATTCCTGTCGTGTGGTCAGAGGGCTAAAAAATGCTACGTTGCTATCTATGTGGTCAGCCAACACTATTACTGTGCGGTTACCTTACCTTTTTGACTGATAGTCCACTGAGAATAATTGTTTTTCCCCTTTGGATAATTCTGAAATGGAGAAAAAACGATTGTCGAGGCTAATGACGCTTGTCTTTTTTGTTTCCTAGTCAAACTTGCCAGTCAGTAATCCAGTCTGCAAGGTAGGATAAATAAAATTCAACGGATTACAATATCCGGAGAAGTGTTTACATTTTTTTTCGGTAAAATCAGACGTTGTTTATACATCCATCCATTTATCTCATTATTTGCACCAAACTTTCACTTCACTTTTTGAGTAGAATCTTTGAGACTATTTGCACTCTATCTCCAGCCCGCACTGAAACTGAGGTGGTTTTGCCAATTTAGGATACTGGATCTTGGGAATCCGAGTCACTCCGACTTTATTTTGCCAACCTCTGATTGAGTATTACCCCTAGGAGTTAGTAATCATGCTCGAATAAATAAATGCGAGGGATATCATTTGGTTGGCCATTTCAATTGCATACTTTAGATTTCGATACTTGTTCAGTAATTATTAATATCGTCTTCGACTTTATCTTTACGTGCGCCGTGTAGCAACCATTCACCTCCACTTGTGTTATTACCCAGTGTTAGTTATGTCCACGAAATTTGGTTCAAATAGATTGGTATTGTAGCCATTGTTACTCCAACGGACAGTGGATGGAATGCATTTCGCTGTTATTTTCAGGGTATGCTAAGCGTGGATTCGGGAATTGGTGGAGACACCTTCCCACCATCTAAATGGTTCGTCACCACGAATTCCACCTACCCCTCTTCCAACTCGACTTCTTCAAACTCTACTAGCGATTGCACCCAATTCACATCGAACACTGGCTTTAGTCCAGTGGAGGTCTTACCTCCACAGTCCGTTGTTGCCAGCGGCACCCTCGACTTCTCAAGTCCAGCTCTTTTTGATGCCGCATTCAAACAAGTGGCAGCAGTGGCGGCAACCGCGACTCCTTCTGCTTCCTCTGATGTCTCAAGAGGGGGGTTGTCAGACCACGGCGCCACCTCCGGACTGCTCCCTTTACTCTGGCCGCCCTCTTGGCCCAACACCGCTGATTGCAGTCCGTCTACAGAAACACCACAACTGCATTTTCGCCCAGGTAGTGGCATTCGCGGAGTAACAATTTGATGTTTACTTGCGATCCATACTATGTCGATTTAATCAAAGCTTCGTACTGCGACCAAGGATCACCCTTAAAACATTGCAAGTGAAGACAATAGCTTTACTTCAAAAATATTCCAACAAACAACTGAGGAAAAGTGTCTCAGGTTTCATTTAATCCGCATTTTATTTCTCTATGGAGACGGTTACCCGTGTTGCATCAAAAAGGACAAGGAAAACCTACTTTGGCTACTATTGCAAAGAGGTACCTTTTAGCAAATGAGGACTTTTAGTCTGAAGTAAAGCTTCGATAACTTTATTAAGAGCTTTGCGATCACATTATTTACGCAAACGTACTACAACTTCTTTTGTGACAAGTGTACTGACGCGTTTATGTTTAGGCGAACGTGTTTGTGAGATGTGTGCTCTTAATGTTCTTTTTCTAAATGACGGGGCACGGTGCTCATTTCCGATGTGAAAATCGAGTTCGCACGATCCGTTGTGGCATAGATGCCGTAAATGGGGCATTCCTTCAGTGCATTCTTTTGTTCGCCCATTGGATGATTTGCCACAACAATGTTAAGTGCATAAACTCCAGCTCGTTACCTCAAAGCACCATTTAACTACATAAATTGCAAGTGCAAATAGATTGGCATATCCAAAGTTCTAGCATTTTGGCGATTGCCATGTTTCACTTTTTTTGCATAGACAAGGTCCACTTAACGTAATAAATCACACAAACAACATAATAAATAGGCCAGTTGCGTGAAACGCGAGCAAGATTTAAATGCGGTTTTCCGTGGTTAACAAGTCAAATGGTTGTAAGTGAATGAAGACCTGAATCGTAATAACGAGATGTTGAAGTTCTTTTTGTCTCAACTTTGTAAAACTGTTGTGACTCAACGATTTTTAATTTCGCCATTAAGTAACCACGAATAACTCTGAAAGATTCTCTAAAGGGTTTGTACCAGCATGCAGATAGGCGGTTTCCTCAATTACTCAGATTTCCTTTCTGATGTGATATTTACTTGAGCCATGATGATGAATAAGGAATTTTAGAAATTCAAACGTTAATGTATTCAAAGGTGACAATCGTCAGCACCAGATCGCCCTCACATCACGTTTTGAGGCTGCTCTCCGGCAGCAGCAACAGCAGCAATCCCGACAGGTCTGTAATCGCCGCAAAGCTGAATCAATTTGCTTCTCCTCCACGGCTTGTCTCAACTCGGCGCTCCTACCATCCAGCAATACCCTAAAGTCGCACCCACTGACTATTAATGTTGGGCAATTGGGCTCTCCACCACCCCCCTCCCTGCCCGTCGATCTTTGCCAGCCGCTCTCCAAGTCATATGCCAACACACCGCAGAAATTCCCCAGAGTATGATGCTTCATTAGGCTCTTTGTTATCCTTTTCAGTGTGTGTATTCTTCTATGTTTAGTTACGCATAAAAATCGGGGCCACTTGTCTAAATATGCTACTTTAACGATGTGCATGTTTGTCGCAAAGTACGGAGGAAATCTGTTCCCTACTGATGGGGTTCTTGTGATTCAGGGCAAATTGTTCCGAAAGTCAATGCTCACATTTACAGTGGAATTTCAAATTTTGATGCATGAACATCCTATTCTTGCAAATTCCCC